AAACTATTGAATTTGAGTAAATATGTATACAAACAAAAGGTATCATGCATTTTATCAAAAATCTTGTGGACAAAGTCCCATCTTTCTAGCACAAAACCCTGAAAAATCATGTTTGATGGAATGTAGCACGTATGCAATAGGCCAGCAGCCATGTTGATGACGTCCTCACATTTAAGAGTATTATGGCATGTAGGAACAAAGATATTTACAAACCTTTTACACTGCTTGGGGTAAATAAATCCTGGACTATATGCAGCTCCCTGAAATTCTGCCCAAAACCATAGCGGATGAAGCATAATATGGTAAAGCCACAGCCATGATATCATGCACCTAACCCCTCACTCTCCTGTCTCTATCTTCTTGCGAATGAAATGTACTAACTGCAAAGAAGTAATTCTGATGATGCATGCCATATTCCATCCAATCAAACTCTACATTCTTACTTATCCTACATTCCCCATCCACACATCATACCAATCCATATGTTTCACAGTAACCTTCTGGTAGATCTTTTAACTACTTATAGGTCTCTATATTCATAAATTTATCTAAATACATATCTTGCTGTATCATATGATAAAAAAAAAATATTTATATATTCATAATAATTCACACCACAATTTCCATTCATATATGAGGTACAACAGTGATAATCTATTTTTTACAGCTTGGGGACAAACAATCTGAAGGTTTTGTGGTCAACTTGGCATCAGGTATATACATTGTCTTCTTTTTAAAATCATGTTTGTTACAAACATTCAACTTACTGGGTATGGGTTACATGACCATTATGTCATGAAAAAATTGACTGAGGGTTTGGTAAAGGGAATATGATATTATGAAAAATTTATTTAAAATCTGGGTGACAGGACTGTTCTGCCATGAATGCAAAAGCTATTGGAGGAAGATTCGACTCTGTGAGCATTTAGAAAGGGGGTCTAGCTAGACGAGTTCCAGCTTCAGGGAGAACACTTATTTCCATGCTCAGGATCCTGTTCCTGTTCACTGTGAACATTGGCAAAGTGTTATAGAAAATTGAATAATGCAAATATTTTGAAAAATGAAGCAGAAAACTAAATGTGGCTTGTTGTCATTACTGCACAAAGTTATAGAGGGGGGACCAGGTACCAGCTACACTTCAGAATACCATGGGAATGCCATAGAATGCAGCAAGATTGATGCAGAGATATGAATTCAAAACTTTATTCTATGGTTTTTCAAAACTTGTATTATTGTATATGTATCTTAAAGTCCCTAGTTATATAAGGTTTACTTCTTTTATGATTATTTTTGGTAATTGTTTTACATTATAATCTGACCTGAAATCAAATCTATTACTTATTTTACTTATCAATGATAGGGGAGACTCAGATGACTGGCCACTTTGTACAATTTGATTTTCCTTCATTTTGATTGTCTTAACCCATTCGTCCCGGGTGTCACATATATGAGACACAGGGAAAAAATAAACAGTTTCGGGCTGCCCGCCAGTGCGATGCTGTCTCGGAGCCGTGCTCCGCGGCAAAAGCGGCGGCGGCGGGCGGGCGGACAGACTCCGGGGAAGCTCCGCCCGCCGATTTTGTAGCTGCCCGGATTTTTTTAATTTTGGCTACAAAATGTACCCCGGTGCGGGTGGGTTAAAAGTTTGCTTTGCTGCACTAATATATGGCACTCTTAGTCCACTTTTGCTTTAGTTCAACTTTCTTTATATGAATTCTTCACCTGTCTTTCTCAGCCCTTGGATCTCGGTGACAGACCATCATGTCATGAAAAATTTGGCTTGAGGGCTAGGTGACATGAACATGCCATGATGGAAACATTTGGTAGAGAGATGGGGTGACGAGAACATGCTGTCATGAGAATTTTGTGAGAAAACAAAGCTCTTGGAGGGTGACTAGAGTCAGTGGGCATTTTGGACTGTGATCTTGCATTATTTCCATCAGTAAATTAGTGTAGAATGTATCAGTCCTGAGCACAACAGAAAGAGCGCCGGCTCCAGGGAGGATGTTCAGGATCCTATTCCTGCCCACTATGAATGGCATTGCAGGGTGTATCACATATAAAAAATCCACCTACAAGCCACACATTTGGGATATTTGCCACTCAAGTAAGTCATCAAAAAATTTGACTTGTGTGGAGAGTGACATGAACGTGCTGTCATGGGAAAAAAGTGAACTGGTAATTATGACCAAAGGCCAAGGTGACGAAAAAGAAAACGGTGCTGGCTCCAGGGAGGACACCATTTCTATACTCAGCATAGGAAAGAAAAAGAAGAAGAAGAAAAAAAAAAAAAAACACAAATAACATGCTGCCTTATTTACTACATAGTTTATTGAGGGAAAACAGTCTATTACCATCTGGATGAAGCAAATCAGTCTTTAACTACATGAGTGTTTGCGTGTGTATAACCTACATGCCACACTCCCAGCAGAGCGGCTGATTATGTAAGCTTAATGCCCATATTTTGGTCCATGTGATTGCTATGAAGCAAGCAAATTCAAGGGATTAATACCCAGATTTTGGGACATATGCTGGCAGCTAGGTGCCAGGATCCAATGTTTCACTGTTATTTCTTTTTAAATAACATATATGTTCATTACCATGCCTTAAATAATCCTCAACACTTGAAATCACTGTTGCCACATTGTTGTGGACGAAGTGTATATACACATCTGGTAGTACATGAGTTGTGTCATGACATAGTTTTTATGTGTATCTTCCTGGATAATTCTATTATTGTGGTAACAATAGAGCCGCAAGAGGTCATGTTTGACCTGTTTACATGTCAGACAGGATCTGTTGGATGTGTTTACTTAATATTTAAGATCATGGAGATATTTCACACTGGCCTGTACCAGCCACAGATGCCCCATTTAAAAAAATTGAACTACCAGATTTTTAATATCAGAATATTCCTTCAGGATAAGGTTTTCATTCAAACTTTTTATTCATTACTTGTAGTTCTACATTGTTTACCAGTGGTGCTTGCTTTTCATTCAGACAAGGAGTCCTGAAAAAAAAAAAAGTGGGACAAAACAAGTCTCCTTGCAAGGGCCCCCCTCCCTCGTCTCTTTCTTTTGGCCCTAAGTTGCCATCTGCCACTTGGGTGGACAATTTTTTTCAGGCTTCCTTAGACAGAAAACCCTTTAGCTTTCCTTTATTAAACAAGAAGGAATCGTATTAAACTGTTTTTTTTTTTGTTTTTTTTTTTTTAAGATATAGGGTACAGAAGCACATTCTTATATATACTGTTGGGGACAAATGAAAGATATACATCATAAGCAGAACAGTCTCTTATAGGTGTTCTTCACACATGGTAACTCCGGGCAGCTTTTGGTTACCAACAGCTATTAGTGTTATCCAATTACATTAGATAACACTTGATCAACAACTGGCCATTAAGAGAATCTATAAAAAGCATCTGATCTATATACCTCAATAAAACACACACTGCAAACAGAGGAAATTCTAATATTCATGAAAACACTTAGGTTTTTTAGTCTCTTTACACTCACTTTCAAGGGATTAACAGTATAAACACCTGACATACTTTTTAAAGAAATTAACAATCCATATGATAACTGTTATCCTCTGATGATCTTCAAGGGTATGCTAAGATATGGCCATGACTTGACATGTATGTTGTGGAGGAAAGCATTAAGGCACAAGGAGTGGATAGTTGGAAAGGAGATTGTGATGCATATAAGAAAGTTAATTTTACATGCTCTGGGGAAGAAGAAGAAGAAAAATGGCCTAACTAGAAGCACTCAGAGAGTGCATACCTCTGCTAAGACAATATGGTCACTGATGCAATAAAAATATTCACACTTGAAATTACATTAAAATCACCCTTTTTCAAATACACTAGAGATGTTTGTGTTTCCCTATCTAAGGATGCTAATGAATCTGGATCACCACCAAAAATTAAAGGCATACAAGTTAGGATTAGGCAATATGGTAAAATTTTCATAAAAATCTGTTCATAACTTTTTAAGTTATCCTACACAGGATCAGGATCAGGATCCAGATCAGCACAAAAATTTAATGGTATCTAAGCTGCACAAAGATACACCTCTGGTAAAAATTTAATAAAAATCAGTTTATAACTTTTTTTTGTTATCCTGCTAACCAACTAACTAATCAACACTACCAAAAATATAACCTCCTTGGCGGTGGTAATGATAGAGGCATGAAGGTAGACAGAAAACTGAACAAGGTTACAGAATGAAGCAAAGAAACCCAAACTTATCTATGGGTGGCCAACTGTTTCTTAATACTACCATGCTTACTCTCTGTTTTTCTTACTTCCACCCTCTTTGTAAGCGTAAGTTATAAAAGGTCTGTATTATTTATCATACTGTTCTCGAACAAAACTGCCCTAAACTACATGCCACAACCAATTACTTGCCTGGACACCAAGAACATCTATTGAAACATTTTGTGAAATGTACATGCCAGTACAACAACTGTTTCTGATTAGTCCAAGATGATAAAACGTATTTGTCTAAAAGCTGCTAATTTGATTAACTGGTCAACTGAATTCCCCATTCATTTTATATAAAAGAGAGTTTACTGCATCAGCAATAAACAACACATTACTGTTATGAATGTGTATCTCCTTATCAACTTTGTTGTTTACAGTCTGGTGCATGGTTTAGCAAGGTTAAATGCTGGATAAAAAAAATGTGTAGATTTGTAAAAGTCAGAGCAACAAGATGTTAGTTAACAGGGTAACAATCAGAACTTTTTATAAATGGCTGATTTGATAAAATTGTGTGAGGTCCAACGCAATGAACATTCATATATACTGACATGCATATACTCTGAAAGAAATTTATATCTATCAGATAGACAGGTAGATATGCATTTATTGTTGTGTATATGCATGTTCGTATAATGAGTATTCATTGGATCAGGCCTCCCACAATTTTAACAAACTGGTTGTAAAAGTACTCTAAAAACAGCAATCCGCTAAGCCTAAAGAAATGCAAAAGCATTACCTTTCCTCTTTCAACCTCTTTTGTGGTCATGACAATAACTCTTGTATTTTCCTGCCAGATCATCCACCAGAAATCTGCACATGTGGAAGGCAAGCATCCTTGTGTAGCTATGTAGGTCTTGGCTTCACTGCCCAAATCTTCTTCACTCTGAAAATAATTAACTTTTCAATAAAGATGGAAAAACAGAGGAATAATGCCAATGTGTTTGTTGGATACCCTGTATCATAAGCAAAAGTAAACAATTGTAACTTACGACAAAAGGCTTGTATTAATAAATATGAGTAGAAAGAACTAATTATATTTATTTATGAGAAATTTTGGCACTGGAGGAACTGAGGTCATTTCTAAACTTCAACACAGTGAGAGTATTAATCATAAGTGTTGCAATTTGGAAAATATTTTTTTCAAAGTAAATTTCAGTAATTCTTCCCCTTCTGAGCAGGACAGGAACTCTCTAATACTACTGTATGGCACTGTTAATTTTTCATTATCCTTCCCTAATAGCTGCAGATAAGGCTAATGATGCTCATTTTCAAAACTCTTAGTAAGCCAAGGTCCAACCCAAAGGTTAATTAATAACACTGCTTATGAGCCTGAAAGGAGTTGCACACAAGCTTTACCCATTGACACCAAGTATTCATATATCCCTATGGTGATAAGGCCTGATTTATTTGTGATGTAATATTACACTACAGTCTAGTCTTTGTGGCTAGGCCTAAGCTGTGTAAAGTTAGCCCACCTGCTGCTAGTCATGACACGTTTATATGTCACAAGCTGTTATGTAATGATGGTTATAGCTGTCACCATCACTGAGGGGTTAAACATCCACTGTCTACAACAATTTACTATTATCCATTTTTGCATACACAGAGGTAGCTCCAAGAGTGCTCAGTCATCAAAGAGTCAATATTTTATTACTATTTTTACTGATAAAAATATTAAAGTATTAATAATGATATTTACAATACTAACAACATAAATACTATAACTGTAGTAGTAAAAGTTTATGGATTGGTGTAAACAGATGAGTTCAGGTAAGCCCAGTACTTTACTTTTTAATGACTATGCACCTGTGAAGTCATCTATGTGTAAGCAAAATTAATAAGGGACAGTATAGGACCCTTGTGCTAAAGGGTTAAGATAAAGTGGCTATTCTACTGCCATCACAGCTTCTCACATTCTTCTTCAAATCCAAATCTGTTATGTGGCAATGGCACTTTAACCCATTATTGATAGGGATGGCATGTAGTCACTGCCAAAATTGTTCCTCAGCTGCCAGGTGTTGCAGGAGGGCAGTGGCATTTGATTACACAGTCACTTAACTTACATCCTATGTAACATAAACAAAGATTGACTCCAGTAGTGCATTAATATATTAGATTTAAAGAGTTTCATATTACCAATATAATGACCAGATAAATAATGGATATAAATTGTGCTAAAATCATACACCATTCCTAACTATATCAGCACAATGTGTATGAGAGTTTGTATTCTTCTATTCTTTCGAACAGATTATTTACCATAAACACTCTTTATCAAAATCTGTACTATGATCTCTCAAATTTCTCAAAAGTTACTAAGACAACATATGCCTGGCAGCCAGAGTTAATCTAAAGTATCACAACATAATGCCGTAAATTACAAAACTTAAAACAATAAATCTACGAAGTTTGGGTGTATCTCATGATACAGCAAAAATAACCATGTAGAAGTGTTTTCAAATATTATCTAATCACAATAATTTTTACTTGAAAACTGCATATCAAGTTACTTTGAATATTTGTCCCATGGTTTGTTGAGAAAATGTTTACCATGTTGCACTACTATGCGGCCTGACTAAGACAATCTGTATGAAGTTGAAATTGTTTTCCAAATAGCCTACGACAGTAAAATGACATGAAACTAACTTTGTAGATGACACTTCATCTCTTATTAACAAATAATAAAGCTGGCATAAATGTATTGCAAATATGATGCTTTCTACTCCTGTCATTTTATTTCATTGTAAAGTAATTGGGGACCTGACATATATCATACCACAATTTTCTGTACTTTTTGTTTATGGCTTGACACAATATAAGAGGACAATCCATATAGACCTGATGTGTTGACACTATTTATCAGATATATTTACCTCATTTCTAGAATTAAGCATTTGTGATGAAATATCTAAAGCAGTAGCGATTATATAACAATAAATGTTTTATCCTGGAAACGCAGTTCATGAAAAATGTTAATACTCTTTTAAGCTATTGATTTTTTTTTTTCTTATACCTCCTGCAACAAGTGCATTACTTTTGTCAGCAATATATATATATATATATATATATATATATATATATATATATATATATATATACACATACATACATGCCATATTCACTATGAGTTTTATTTATTGACTAACTTTACAGAGAGATGGTTCACAAGTGCATAATCACCAAGGAGTCTAATGCTAGTCCTACCTATCTCGCCTGGTTTACCCCTTTACTTGATTTTTTGGGAATCTTATTTTTCAAATTTTAATTATAAAAAATATTCTTAACATCATTATAATCATCAATATGTCAATAATAATAATAACAGTATTGATATCAAATGCATTTGAACAAAAGTGAAAGAAAAACAAAACTACAGTTGACATTATGTGTTCTTGGGAGCAATGGGAAAAGGGTAATCATTGTCAATACTAATTATTGTACTAATATCACTTGTGAATTAAGGGGAAGAATCGTTGGTACGATCACAAAATTAGTTTTCCAGTCCTCCTTGCTTTAGTTTTTTAGCTAGGCCATTAATAATTTTACACAATGTGCATGGGTGTGTGATGCTTGGGCACAAGAAATATTACTTTAAAAAGCTGCTTACATTTTTGGGCTAAAAAAAAAAAAAAAAAAAGATGATAGAATTCGCAAATTACGTAATAGTTTCCTTATAGTGAATAGTACTGCAGTTTCCTTCTGACCAGAGTTAGTCAACAAATAGGAGTACTAAATGTAGCATTTATGTAAATCTATTTGAAACGACAATGTTTCAGTTACCTTGCAAAAAAGCGCCTTTTTTCCCGTCAGAAAATCGCCATTAATTTTTTCAGTAAAAAATATATTTAGTGGAAATAATGCATGACTTAGCTACAGTTAGTAGATACGAACTGGACGATCATTTTGCAACAAGAATTACTAAAATCACGTAATTACATACAAAGTTGACCTTACTATCATGCATGAAAATATGATTTTGAGAAAATAGCGATTTTTGTCATTCATCTTCATTACACCATAAAGGTCATACCAATGATCACCAAATGTGAATATCTACTTAGACAACTCCTTGGCCTTTAATATGAGTCCTGTGGTAGAGGGTCAGGCCTTGTTCAGGTAATTTTAGGTCATCTTTATGTAAAGGTTAGGTTAGGTTATGTGGGAGTGTTCTCTGAAAAGTATACTTTCAGATGTCAAGGCTACCGGTTCCCTGTCATTTACATATCATAGTACATCATATATTATGCATTTACTATATATAAATGACATATTGCCAGGTTTGAAAAGAAAATATGTGTACTCCCGACAACTTTATCAATCGCACTGTTCTCCCGTCCTTGCTGCTGCTGCCTGCCTGCTGAACGCAGCCTAAACTATCGTACAGCAGTATCACACCAAAGAAATTTGCAAAAACAGTCAAAAAACGCTGGAAATACAAGAAAAACAAAGCATGAAGCAAAAAGGGGTGTGGCAGCGCAAGGGCATTTAAATTCTCCAGACATTTAAACTGCGGAAAGGAGCGCGTTACGCATCTGGCAACCAGCGCCTGGGGTGCGTCACATGCTCATGTATCCACACATAAAGTTTGAAAAAATCGTAATTTTTGACCCGTACCAACGACTCTTCACCTTAAATTTATGGTATGATACCAGAGTCTGTTTAGACATAAAATTAATGCTCTCTCTCAGTTCTGGCTATTACTGTTTACCCACTAATAACAGTCAAATATCAAATGAAATGATTTGATGTAAGTTGATCATAAGAAATACTTTCAATAGCATCATGCACATATAACAATCACTCATTATGACTTTGACAAAAATTAATTATTCTGCCTCTATTAACCATCACCTGTAATGTTCAGGGGTTTTATGTTCTATTCTGAATAAAATGTACTAAATGGTAATGATAATACTTGATAACCTATCTCTTTTAGCAGACTCTTAAATTTCTCCCTTCTCCCAGGGATAGCATTTCTATCATTATGATAACATAATTAATCAAATTGGTTTAGTCATTATCTGAAAAAGCTGCTTAATTGGTTTAGTCTATTGTCATTTGTTTTATTCTAACTAGCATGATACTATGACAACAGTAATAAGCCTTAGTAGGATTATTGCAACCTTGATGACATTGAAAGTAAATGACATTATCACCATACTTACAGTTATAAGATTAGCATTTATGTAATCAGACCCTGGAATCCCAGGATCTGTATCTCTCAGTATGACCCTTGTGTGGTCAAAAGGCAAAATATTCTTGTAGCGGTTTTTGTTTCTGTTCTCAGGCTTCTGGCCTTCCTTGCGTGAGTAGAGCTGCTTACACTCTTGTTGCTGCAGAGATTCAAACTCCTCCCAAAATCCAGCCTTCCCCATAGTGGGACCCTGATGCTCCTTCTGTAATGATGGGTCAAAACTTGTTTGGCGTCGACGCTAAGTGACCCGTCACCAAATGAGTAACGCAAGGGGGGAGATTTGTTAGTAAGAGGGAGAGCCAACAGATATCTATTATATGTATGGATATGTCCAATCTTATGTATCCAGAAATTTCATCCATCATCTCAAACCCCCATAAATCCATCACAAACAAGTTCTAAACAGCCTTGACTCACCGATAATTCTCTGACTCTGCTGTCAATGCCACGTGCATTGATTCTTGTGGCGTTGAAGGGCATCTTTAGAGGAACCACAGTACCAGACTGCTCCACCATTGGATTTCTTCGGTAGTGTTCAACCAATTCACTGAGAGTGTCAAATTTTCTCCCTCCTCCAACATCATACTTGTTGTCCTGCTGAGAGAAAAAATTATATTGTTAAGGGAATCCATGTAAACATGGTTAAAGTTTGTTGCTTGACATGTGCATCTGATATATCTATCTCCACAGAAAAATCCTTCTAATGTGTAAATACATTTAAATGTTTTAATTTAATTAATTTAAGTGTTTTAATAAATGGAAACGAAGCATATCAATTCCAAATACTGTTTTTTGTTTTGTTAAGTGTATCTTGTTAAACAGATAAACTTTCATGACAGCTTGAACTTCAAAATGAAAGCTATGATTATGAATGAAACATGTCCTTTTCTCCTTAAAAGCCATTTCAAAAAAGTTTCTTTAATTTTGACAAAAAGGACATAATGCAAACATTAGAATTTTACTTCAATATAGCATATGAAACCTTCCTGAACTATCTCCTAGTTCTACTATTGAAAGATTAATCTTGTTGTGGTAAAAGTACCAGTATTATGTGGCACTTGTTATTATTGAACTGCATACAGTCACTCATAATCAAAATTTATGATGCAAAAAATATACAAAGTCTCACAAAACAATGTGGGTAAATAAATATTCACCATGATAGCGGTGAATATTAATGTATATGATGTATGTATTTTTCATGAACACATTTTGGATATTCATACTATACTTTCCTGCATCTTTCTTCTTGCAAATAGAATATAGAAAGTCTAACTTAGTAATTCCTGTGCTGAAGGGCATTTTTCATCAAGCCAAACTATCTATCTTCTACTCTCCTATGTTTCCCCACTAAACACCACATTATCCTGTATCATAGAGTTACACTACTTTTAAGTACATTCAAATACACTTATTGGTGCATAAAACTAAGCTTTGGAAAGGTTATCACAAATAGACAAACTGGAGGAATTGCAGCTCTTAGGAATTTAAATAATCTAAGGTAATTAGTAAGTGTGAATGCACCCCACAGCCAGTGAGGACCACTGATACTGATGGAAAAAATTGAATATTCTTTTGATGCAGGGTGGATTTACCAAAATCACCATGACACACTTAACCCAATGCCACTGGGTAATAATGCTGCGTTCACTTTATAGTTTTTGTTAAATGTTTCTCTTTGAAATAGTAGGAAAAAGATATCTTTTTACTAATGCTATCAATACTGATCCAATTATTTTTGTTATAAACATTATAATTATCATGTTACTGAAACTACTAACAGAAGTATTAAATACTAGAAAATATTATAAAAAATCAAGGAAAAAGTTAAACAGGTAAGATGGGTACTTCTTGTAACTGGCTCATTGGTGGCCTATTACTTGTGGAACCATCTATATGTAAAAACAATTAATAAATTAAACACACTGTAGGCATGGCATGCATGAACATGCTCTCCCTCTCGGCATGTGGTTGGTTGACGGGTAGGTGGCGTTAATGGGATATAGACACTATGTGGCAAAGTAAAATCATAATAAAAGATATGATATGCTATCAGAAATTACCTTATATAAGGATGCTTGTAATTACTAAAAATAGACAACTATTTAAAATCAGTACATATACATGTTGTTATGTTTACTTGCAAGCTAGCAACATCCTAAACCCAATGATGCTGGGATGGCAAAAACAAATACTATGTCCACTGTGATTTTAGTTCATTAATTTTGTTAACACAAGTGGTTAGTCATCAAGGAGTCAATTACTTGATGTAACTACCTCACATTTTTATCCTTTTCCTTGATTTTTCGATTTTTTATTTTTCACTGTTATTAGCATTGTTAACAATTTCAAAATAATCATATGCCAATAATCATACCAATACTGAATACTACTAATAACATTTAAAAGCCTATTTCCCCAAAAATCAAGGAAAGGAGGAATCAGATGAGGTCATGTAAACCTACTAATAGGCTATGTTCAAACAAAATCAAAAAACAAACTGAACCCACAACAAAGGTAGAAAAGAAAATGAAGAGCAAAAAGAATTAGTATGAAGGGGAGAAGGAGAACTCACCACGCATCTGATCATAACTTGAGTGACTTTATCATCAGTGCGCACAGAGAGAACATAATCTCCTGGTTTGCTCTGTGATTCCCTGACAAGAAAGCTTCCATTTTTACCCTTCTCCAGTATGAGTTTCTCTGCCTCTCGACCTGACAGATGGCCATGGAACCAACTGTAGGAAAGGAAATGTTTATCTGCATTGAGAATAATCAATATCCTCTATATAATAATGCACATCATTTTTTCATTTGGAAATACAAAGGACAAATTGATCTGTATATTTCATAGTAATAAAACAGTCTGCATTGATTAATAGATGAAACACAAACATAAATACATATACACACTCAGGGAATAACCAACCGTTCAGTTGTCGGATCTGCACAGTTCAGTGGATATTTGAGTTCGATGATCTCTCCATTCTTTTCCCTTAGCTGGCCTTGGTTCTCCATATAATACTGTACCAATTCAGCGAGGGTAGCAAACTTTTCCCCTCCATAAAGATCATAGAAGTCACCCATATTCTGGATTTTTATGTGTGTCACTTCGCCATTCCGTCTGCATATTCTGGATTTT